ATGTTGAACACAAAAGAAGATATTTTGAAGAATGCTGGTAATCAACAACATGAAGGTGAGTAAATGACAAAATTGTCATTTTGGGGGTAACTATTCCTTTAACTTTCCCATAAACATGGTTTCTTATGCTCAAATAGCATTAAAAAACTCAAATTTCAGACTGGACCGAGAACTGGAAGACTGTTTTCTAAGGCAAACAGAGAACCTAATGGCAGCTGCAATGTTGCAACAACTTTACCAATTTGCGATGGCGCTTTTATTTAGAAGGCAGGACTTATTCCTCCATACAGCACATTGAGTTTTCTCCCATTCATAAGTGAGTGCAGCATCTTTGTATATCTAAAATCTTTGGAGAACTCCTGCATACATCCCCAGAAAGAAGTCTGTCATTTTAGTTATTTTTGAATAAACATTACAAGGTCAAAATATATGGACCGATAAATTGTTCACAAGTTCTAAAACATACAGTTAGAAAATAGGATGAATTTTCATTCCATGCCAACTTTACAAACTTTTGTACCACCACAGGGTTCAACCAGGTCTCCTGGACGAAAAGCCAATCACACAGACCGAGAATCATGGCCATCTAGCTCAAGTAGGTCGCTACAATGTTATTCTGCCAGAAACTCATGCAGGGTCTCACTTTTTAGACCAATTAATGGCTTTTCTGTAACCTTTATCTAATTTACATGACTTAAACGCTTGTTTTCATTATTGTTTTTCCAGCGATGGCTCATTCTCACAGTAGCCCTGTTCTCAGTGCGGCAGCCTCAACCAAAGTACTCTACTACACAGATCGCTCTCTCACACCCTTCCTAGTCAACATCCCTAAGAGGTGACATCAATAATAACATCATTGTATAGAGATTTAATCCACAAGTCTCCTGATCTAAATATGAACTATTTATCGATAGGCTGGGGGAGGTTACGCTACAGGACTTCAAGGCGGCTGTGGATAGACATGGCAGTTTCAGATATCACTTTAAATCTCTGGATCCAGAGTTTGGAACAGTGAAGGAAGAGGTAAAATCACAACCAATCAGGAGTAATTAAATATTCCAACATATCAGTATTGATTTTCTCTAAATGTGTGGCATCTTTCAGGTGTTTCAGGATGATGCTGTTATTCCTGGATGGGAAGGGAAGATTGTCGCATGGGTGGAGGAGGATCATGGAGAGGGGAGATAGAGCATGAGGATTTCAATCCATTCAGAATGTGTTTTACCCTACATATACCTCATCCCTGCAAAACTCTGAAGCCTTTGTCCTGTCCTAACTATGAATCTCACTGAACCAGTTCACTATGTCATTACAGCAGGCACGTGTTTGTAAAATTGTGTATATGCATTTTGAAGAATGAAAGAAGAATGTTTTTTAATGTTATTAAAAAATGGTTTACAGCTAAATGCAGATTATGTTTCTGAGTGTATTGAGGTTACGGTACATTTTGTTTTGCAAAAGCTAGTATATCAGCAATGCCATTGTGATAAGTGACCAAGAAAAGAAGATTATTTAAAACTGTATGGGTCTTGTGCAGTGAACAAATAATAAATATGTTGCATTAGTTGCCAAACCGTGACAAGCATGTCACACAT